ATGGATGCATGGATGCATGGATGCATGGATGCATGGATGCATGGATGCAAGGATGCATGGATGGAACCAACCACTTACGGGAAGTTTTTTTCGAGAAACCTGTATGCTGCTGGCATGTTGCTACTGCTGCAGCTTGAACCCAGTTCTCTTAACCGTGGATAATACGTCATGATGTTAAGACACATTTCGTCTAAGGTACTAGTGCCTCCCTGCAAATGACAAACCAAATGAATTTTGGGAAATTTTTCCTTTCTTCACAAGTTTTATCCAGACGAGTGCACGCCCGCTTCCATCCATTAGTCCTGGGACACACGCTAAGCCACTGATTACCAAGATCAAAAAATAAGTTCACATAACACTCACAAATGTAGCTGTGGTGTGACCTTTGGTATTGTACTTGCACTGCTGAATTATCTCGTCACCCTGGTATTGAAATGAACATATCCTCAGATCACGTGGTCGAGGCATTAATCAAAATGGGGAACTATTACATAGTGAAACAACTTACGGGTTGGAAGTGAATCTCTTTAGGGTGGATTTGCATCTCCTGAAGAATGAAAACAAACGAACAAATGATGAAATAATAAAATGAAAGAACGAAAGGTGAATGAAGAAATGAAAAAAGGAAAGAAGGAAGGAAGGAACGAGAAAGAAGGAAGGAAGAATGTTGGAAAAGGATAGGAAAGTGAGAGGAACAAAATTAAGTGACTTGCCCTTGTCCCCGTACATTTACGAAGTAAAAAGTGCCTCCATTGTGTAGAAAGAGGGACTTAACAGTCTATGATATTAATGAGCCTATGTCCATTGATTTTAAACTGCAAACTCGTTAATTGAAAACGTTTTCACGGGATTCAGCCGCTGAAGGAGGCGTTGTCATTACAGGATTTAATCAAACATAAAAATAATCAGCGTATCAGCTGTACCTGAAAGTTAAAATCATAGTTGTTATCTCTTGCAATATCTGGTAGCTGAACACCGTCCCTGATGTGTTGGGTCCAGATGGCACGACCTGCGTTGAAAAAATATTTTATATTTAATTTTTGAATATACTCTGCATTGGTATTTAGCTTGCGCTTAGTCAAATGTCGCAAGATAAAATTGTTTAACGTCGATCAGACTGGGAGTGATTGCAACCCATGCTCAACATTCCCTATGGATCYCTGTGTGGTCTTCTGTATCTAGTTCTTACCTGCTACATGTGTGTGTAAATATGAAGAAATGATTTTGATTCCTTTCTCAGGAAGTGGACTGCTTTCAAGGACCTTTTCATGCCAATAGAATTGGACAGGATTAGACAAAAAATCTTTTGATTAATTGATTAATTTCCTAATGGGGGAAATGTATATACGCCGCCCTCTCCCCTCTCTTATGTAAAATTAAGAAAGCAAGCATCCTTTTATTTACTCACCTCCCTTCCCCCTACGACGAAATTATACCTTTTGGGTGCTCTCTTTTCTACAGTATCCTGTAGTGATCCAGTGATCCTCCACTCACCTCCCCTCCCCCTACAACGACAATCTACCTTTTGGGTGCTCTCTTTTCTACAGTATCCTGTAGTGATCCAGTGATCCTTCACTCACCTCCCCCTCCCCCTACAACGACAATCTATCTTTTGGGGGCATTCTTTTCTACAATATCCTGTAGTGATCCAGCGATCCTTCACTCCCCTCCCCTCCCCCTACAACGACAATCTACCTTTTGGGTGCATTCTTTTCTACAATATCCTGTAGTGATCCAGTGATCCGTCACTCACCTCCCCTCCCCCTACAACCACAATCTACCTTTTGGGTGCATTCTTTTCTACAGTATCCTATAGTGATCCAGTGATCCGTCACTCACCTCCCCTCCCCCTACAACCACAATCTACCTTTTGGGTGCATTCTTTTCTACAATATCCTGTAGTGGTCCAGTTTTCCTGGTTGGGTGGTATTACCATCCATGATGTAGCTTCATCCCCCACATTGAAAGTACCAGCATCGTATGTACGCACATCAGACGTATAGTAGAGCGTTACTCCGGAATTGTCGAGCCGTCCYACAACAAACATTCGTAATATTTATGTGTGGCTTTTAACGCACGGCATTAGATCTCTTTGCTACGCAGGGCAACCAGTATTCAAAAGTATACTAAAAGAATGAGGGCGTTAATAAACTCTGTGAATGACCACCGTACTATATAGGGTGAGCGCCTAGTTACACGTGATACTAACCACCCCTTATGGCTATAGTGTTGTGAGGTGTAAACACAACATCACTTACCATCTCTTATGACTATAGTGTTGTGAGGCGCATTCACCACACTCTTAACCACCTCTCATAACTGTAGACCCTATTATGACTGCAGTGTTGTGAGGTGCATACATTTTGACTAGCCACCTATTATAATTTTATCATAGTAAATACCCTTAATTACCTCATACTCTCCTGACTTTCACCCCTTTCTATCTCTGGGGTACAAGCATATCCCGAGAATCCTTCATTTTCTATGACAGCGGAATTATTTATAGCTGAAATATTTTATTCTATAATAAAGAATAACGCAAATATACGACTTTGACTTGCCTGACAAAGTATTTCAATCTAGTTAATTCAGCAATTTATAATGTAATTTGAATAAATAGAACTTGAAAACAATGATGGAGTCTTGTTGACTTCGAAATGTTGCTTTATTTGCGTTATTTTTTATTTTGAATTCTATATCGAAATCTTTGTTAATATTAAATATTTTAGCGTAATATTTTACCTTCTACGTTTTTAGGATTGTCGTAATGAATTTCCATGATAATTACCGAGCCACTGTCGTTCGTTCCCACAGGGTACCCAACGTGTTCAGGATACACAAACGGCTGAAGAAATGAAAGAATTTTTCGTTCAAGAAATGATGGACATGAGAAACATTGATTTTACGAGGTGATTCTATCTGTCAGCCCAAGCAACCATGATGTCCTAAATTAAAGAACACAGATGTTCTATAACTTACCCCAGCACCAACACCCCAGCCATACATGATGTCCCCTAATTTACAATTCAAGATCTCTGCGGGCATATTGGCATAGTCGAGATAGTTTCCAGTGTAGCTAAGCAGGTGATCAGGAACTTTTCCTTTGCATTCATTGATGAGTAAATGATGAACGAAGCCTTCGTTGTCTGGTTGGACTACGGTCTCAAACTGAAAAAAATTGTAAGGCAAGGCAAGGCAAGGCAAGGCAAGGCAAGGCAAGGCAAGGCAAGGCAAGGCAAGGCAAGGCAAGGCAAGGCAAGGCAAAATGTAGCTTGCAAACTCACCCTCACAATGTGTTTCTTTCCTCCAAAATCGGGAAGCCTGAAAAGTCTGCACATGTAGCTGGTATGGAGTTTTGGAATTGTCAACTAGAAGTAACAAGAATATATTTTTTTAAGGTGAGTTTGGAGTGACCCTCCTTAACCATACTCATCAATAAATATTATCATTTGGAAAGACCGAGTTTCTTGCACTTTTCTGTGTTCAAATTAACTAACTGGAATTCCATTTCTGGTGATGAATTCGCATTTTTCCGATGTAAAGAATAAGGTATGTGAACATATCAGTACGTTCAGTCGTCAAACAGCCATTCCAACAAGGATTCTGTGAAAAAATTGTAAATTCAAAAAAACCTGTAACGCTGCCTTACATTGTCCATTAGTACATCTAGTTTTTTCCAAGATGGATCGGGTTTCGATGTTTTCACAAAGTTTAGCAGGAGAATGCTTCTTGATCCTTTATCAGAATGCTTCTTCATGTTGGTGTCAGAGGTGGGATCTTCCTCGTGATACGCAAAAATCACTCTAGTCGTTCCACCCTAAGAAAAGAAAAAGCCCTTTGTATCAATAGAAAAATATACAACTGCAGATCTATAGGAAAAGGGAACTGCACCTGTAACAAAACACACATTGACATACAGTCAACACTGAACAAACATAAAATTAGGCTACGCATACGAAAATAAATATATATCGCTATCACCAACCACTACAAAAACAATTCATAAAGTACCTCAAATTTATAATCTTGACGGTCACAAGTGTCAATCTTTCKGCTAAATTTCATCGTTGTTTTACCGTCTTTTTCCGTGCCTGAAATGAGTTTGTAATCCTGTGAGTCATCCATCGCGGGTACGAAGTAACCTTCGCCATATCGGTCCTGTAAAAACGAAAACAAACTGTTAATGGGTACCAAGAAATAGAGGAGACGATCTAAACCAATCAAAACCCACGCAAAGCAAATCATCCAAGCACATTGCTTAAGTACAAAAACCGGCGTCAAGTACAAAGATGATGATGATGATCAGTGTTGTTGTTGATGATGATGATGATCAGTGATGAAGATGATAATCGATGATGCAGGATGGTGATGATGATGAGTTATGGTCGGGGTGGCTGTTTCTCGTTGTCGTAGTTTAAATCCTTAAAGTTGGTTGCTGGTACTTTAGTTGCTGGTCTATCAATAAACAAGTGCTTCATCCGCGGGACTTAATTGGAATGGGGTTGCCTGCTGGCTGTCTTCTRTAATGCAACTCTGCTTCGTCTGATTCTTCCTTCTGCGGTGTTAACGAGATGGGATCTTGTGGTGTTGTGACGTCTGACTACCGTGGCTTGTTTCTTTTATTTCGATCCTTAATGCTGTATTGAACGTTGATACTCTTGTGGAACGGCTTATTGAGACAAGTTTCAGAACGAATTGTACGTGTAACACTTTCTTCACGAAAAGTATAACTACTTTCCGTACTCATGCAATGACTTGTTCTCTACGAAATAGACCTTTTTCGAGTTCCAACTAATATATACAAATAAAGAATGCACAGCGGCTTCAACAATACAAACACAAATACAAATCACGGACCTTCACTGGAACACATGAATATTCTACACAAATTCGAGGCTAACCTTGAGCAACAGAGAGATCA